ATTTAAACCTTGGAGTTCAAACCTGTGGAGAGAATGATCTTCTACAGAACTTGTTTTAGAACACAATGCTAAGAAGTCTGCTTGTGAATCTTGAGTCAAGCTTCTACATCAAAAGCTTTTGTTGAAAACATTTAGCAATGTTTTTTATAACCAAGAACTAGACCTGCCGATTCTCATTTAACTTATCTACTTCCACACACAAAAAATCTGAGCATGACAGGACATAAAGCCAAGGAGGACTGGATTTAAAAAGAAAGCATCAGTAGTCATCAGCTAACCAAGGTGTTCAGTGCTATATACTGCAACTGTCAAATTACACTTGCTGTTTAAGAACAGCACAGGGAGCCCAAGTTTTAAAGCTCTCCCTCCTTGTTTGCAACCGCTCACGTTCACTCACTCAGTGGCTCTAAAGAGCCACCAAAGTGGATGCAGATCAACATACACCTAAATTTGAAAGACAGCAACTCATTCTTGCCCACCCCACTGCCCAGACAGATGTAAATTAGCAAGGGTCCCATGGAAGCACGTACCAGAGCTCAAGCAGCAGCAAGTTAGCAAGCTTCAGCCAGCTGCCTACAACAGTAACACTCATCCTGGCTCTGAGAGAGAAAGAGAACAATGCAATAGCACTAGAGGCAAATACAGATTACTAACCTGCCCAGCAGCTGCCCGGCTACCCTGAAAGACTCCTCCCCACCCCTCTGGTGAGGGCACCAGCTACGCACCTGAATCCTCCCTCTCCTCCACTCTCAAGCCACTCTCAAAAATCCTCTACCTCCCACCTCCCCAAAACTTGCAGACATCAAAGGCAGCTGCCTTGAACACCTGAAGAGCAGGGGGGCCTGACGGTCAAGAAATGCAACTCTGTATCTTCCCATTCCATGCAGTCTCTATTTTTTTTCTCCCCGTCCCTTTGAAAAAGGTGGCAGAGATAAATGGAGAACAAAGAAACAAGAAAAAGCCACAGCTTTGGCCCACACCCTGCCTATTACTTAAGGGGGAAGGAACTCTTCCGAAAGAGGAGGAAAAAAAATGTGCTCAGACACAATGGCTCAAAAGGCCAGGCAGCAAACCGGGCCACTTTGTACTGCTAACAAGGGAAACCTAATTACAGGAAGAGGGCAAAGAGGGACAGATAAAAGGAATACAAAATTTCAACATCTGTTGCCATAAAGGGATAAGAAGTGGCGAAACGCAAAGTGTCAGTTTGGTGTCAGTGATGGCGTAAAGCCACTTTCAAAGGGCTCAGGAGAGGGAGAAAAACTGAACAAGAAATTAGAGGGTTCTTAAAAAAAAAAACAACACAAAAAAACCACTCTGCCAAAAATGCTTTCAAAAGAGGGGAGGAGATGGACAAAGACTGGATATTTAAAAGGTAGAGGATCTGAGGTGGCTTGCAGGGCACAGCTAACTTTGGCTCAGTTTTCATAACAGCTCTCATGCCCTGTGTCTGCCACATTGGGTCACAGGAAAGGACAATGTAGGACTTGTGCATTCAAAGTGTTCACAGCATGAGGACTACCATGCCAGGCAGATCACTCGTCCATTTGAAACATCGGGCTTGGCAGAATAGTTCCAAGAGCTGCTGCAAAGTGACCTCTGGAGTATCCTACCTTATGGACAAGCATCCTTGAGGCAGGGGCATTTGTCACCTAAAGACATGCAGACCACCATGACAGGCTGGGGAGCAATAGTTCTCCACAGGCAAATGGAGCTGTTCCCAGTGGTGCGTTACCCTCGTCTCTCAAGGACTTTAAAACTCCCAAAAGAGAGAGGGCATGGGAAGAGAAAGAAAGAGGAACAGGATCTGAAGAAAGTTTCCTTTTCTCTTGCTTGCCATTACCTGGCTGTTCTGCTGAGCCACACGCTGGCACTGGCAGATAAGACAGGAAGGTCTGAGCAGAGAAAGGCAAAAGCGAGCAAAAGTACCTGACCTGAAAGATGGGCAGCTGCCATCATGTCTTTCACTGAACAGAAGGGCAAGGGGACTTGCAAGAGGTCAGAGAGTCAGCAAGGCCTGATACGGGATGCAAGGACAACGTTAGTATCCAGTGGCCCATGTTGCTAATCGGTCTCTTTCCTGTGCAGACCTCTAATCACCTAAGTTAATCACAGCCCCCCTCCACACACACACCTTGATCCTGAGTGGCAATAAGCACACAGCAACTTCCCCATGTCTAAAAGCAATCAGATGGCACAATGTAGCATCTGCAGGATGAGATGTGTCCTCCAGAGGTGTAGCTACGCAGCTTCAAAAGCATAACGAAAAAAAAATCCTCCTTCATTACAGGAGAAATGGCCAGGTGTAGCAGCAGCTGGAATTTCAGCCATCAGAGACAGTGTCTTGGCATTACATGGTCATTTCCCTGCTTTAGACTCCCCTTGACAATTGCTTGTTGCTGCCTGTTGCGGCTTTGATCCAACGCCATCATCTCAGCAGAGTCAGAAATGAAAGACAGTTGTGGGGGTGGGATGCAGAAGGAGGTGTTTCCTTTCCCCACTAAAAATTTCCTTGCTGACAAACCCAACCAAGCCCTTTTCAAAGCCCAGAACATATTTCCAGGTGAAGACATTATCCCCTTCCTCTTGGAGGGATGAGAATGGCTGCCCCAGGGTCAGGGAACAGCGAAGGTCATAAATACGAAAACATACCATGACCAACAGCTACAAGCACCATCCAAGGACTTATCTGGCCTGGAACTAAGAAGATCAGTACACAAAAGGTTATTTAAGCTTTAAATCCTTTTGTAGCATGTTCCAGCTCTCAGCTGTTGGGGAAAAAGACCACCTACCCCAAGGGAAGGGAATGCCACAGAATCTGCTGCAATGTTACTTATGCATACACCCCCCCACCCCCCCCCAAAAAAAACCCCAGCTAACTGAACTAACTGGTCTTGGACAACACTAAACATCTATGCGGTGCTAAGGATCCTGTAGTTTTAAAGAACACATCTTAAGCATCGCTTTGCCTCATTTTTTTGACAGAGAAGTTGCCTGGATTCTGCTTTTAGAGATAATGTCGTTGCCATGTTCAGCCTCGGCAGGTCAGACTCTGAGCTTTTGTGGCCACAAGGCAGGGGTAAGCAGCAAACTTGGAGGGCCTGGCTCTGTCTGCCGGATGTTATCAGGACACTGGGCACAGGAGGAGCTTTTCAGTCCTGGGTAGATCTAGGATTTTGAGTTTCCATGCCATGCTCCCATTTGTGGAGTTTGACCAGGGAGACAACATACACAAGCCTCACAGGAAGTATTTCCCTACGAGATCGCTTCTGGCAATCACTGCAGCCTTTCAAAATTAATCCAAAGCTCCGCTGGGAAGAGCAGCAGTTTATGGAGAAGTCAAGACCTGGAAGGATAGCTCTGTACTCCCTCACTATGAGTGATCACATCAAGTTTCATGTGCTAGTTTCCCAGCCATGCTCCCTACTCAGTCTCCTGCCCTGTACGTGCTGACAAGACCCCTAGCTCACACACAGGTCCTCGGAGAGGAAAAGACCCAGTGGCATGGTGCATTCCAGCTGTGACAGGTGAAGGGGGAAGAATAAGTTTGACACTCCAGCCACTGCAACAGAGGCCCCAGTGGCCTAGGTTGCCTTGGCTTTTTTATTTGCCTGTCACTCAGGCTTTGACGTTATTGAAAGATCAAACTCCGTTGTGCCTGTTCATTACCTTAATCCTATTTTCTACACAGCTTTATTATCTCTTCAGGCTTCCTTGGGAAAGGTTGTCAGAGCGGCTGGGGCAGGGGGGAAAGGGTTGCCTATCTCCTCACCCCTGTCAGATGCCTCTATTCAAGAACAGCCGAAAGACTTGATGGGCAGGGGTATCACAGCACAGCCTGCATCCTTCTGGGGTACTCCAAAGGTACCACTGGACTAGGTCATGCACCACAGGTGAATGCACTAGCGTGGTCTTTCCTGCACCAGTTTGTCCTTTGTGGGATGCATCCTTTGCAAAGTCTTTATTTTTGTTACTTCGGAGAAAAACAAACTGGTTTATATTTGTGTTTGATGCAGTTAACTCAGACAATCTAAACTATAGATTAGAAGGCAACTGGCCTCAGACCAGACCTGCGTCCACACCAATCCTCCTCTACCTCCCTTCCCCACATACAGCTCTGCTGACACCCCTCAGACCCCTTCTGCCATTGCCCCCCTTTCCCCCCTCCCAGAGCCTACCAGCTCACCTCAGTCCTGATGGCACTCCCTTGATAATCTGTACTATGCCACTCCTACCCAGAGCATACCAGTCCTAGAAAGCTGAGCTGCTGTTCAATAGTCCTGTCAAGTATTTGCTGTCTGTCCATCACTACACAAAGACGCCCAGGCTGAGAGTTTCAATTTTGTCAGCAGATGAGCCTCATGTCAGGATTTGAGCCCAACATTTCCCCAGTTGCTAAGGTCAGCACCTTCACCAAACAGGAACTACTCAACGGCCCCAAATCAGAAGCCACAGCAATTAACCTCCTCAATGCTTATTAAGACAGAGAGAAGACAGCATGCTTACGTCAATTCCGTAGATAACCTGTTGCCACCCCTAACCTCCCTGAGCTACCAGAAACACCAGTCAGGACAAGATGACTGTAGAGCCAGTGTTTGCCTCTGGCTTTTGAGCACCACAAACAAGTGGGTGAATGGGTAGGGATGCAGATCACCTTCCTCACCCCTCTGGCTCAGGCTGCAGCATCAACAGAGACAGATGAAAAGAAAGGTGTAATGGGCATATTCTGACTGTACACGGGTAACAGGAAGAAACCAGGATGGCTATGCCATCGACTAGAAAAGCTGGGAAGAAAAGCTGAGCTGCTCCCTACTGAACCAGAACCACCACCTTTCCACACCAGTTTGTTCCATCCCCCAGTCCATCCCACATCTCATGTTTAAACATCCATTGCCTACATGGACTAAAGGAATGATTAAACAGCATCTCCAATATTGCATTTCTCATTGTTACTCACTTTTCTCATTAAGTCTTTCCCTGTAACCTGGAAGCTCACTCACCTCTCAAGGTCCCAGATTCTCAGAGGTGAGGTGTGTCCACAGCAGGCTGTCCCCGTCACAAATGAGCTGTTTAAAAAAAACAAAAACAAGGAAACAAAAAAAACCACTTACTAATCCTCATGTTCTGAAGAAATAGCGCATAAGCAAGACAGAGAAAACAGCCTACGAGACAGGCTTCCAATTCTGTTTTAAGATTATTTCAGCATGTTCCACTGCATTTCACAAGGTGCAGGCAGCAGCAAAGGGAAAGCTGCCCCAGAGCTCTCAGTAGCTGAGCTTCCCAGATACAGCAGGTCACAACCACAGAAAACTAACAGGACATAAAGATGTATTTGCATATGCAAAGGGAAAACCTAAAACAAGAGTAGCTGTAAATTGCAATGACATTTTCAAAACAGTTAGCACAGTACTCAGCGCATTTCATGTACAGTCAGCACTGTAACCTGCAGAAAGACCCCATGGAAAATTCCCTGTCACTTCCTACTTCATGTCTTGCTTCTGTTTGCTGCCAACTTCTGAGCACAATCAAGAACTAGCTGCAGCATCACAGGCCTAATGAAGCACAGAATAGGCAACTCCAGTCCAGCCTGCTCAAAGCAAGGCCAATTTCAAAGCTGGATCAGGTTGCCCTCCCCAGTGCTCAAGCACTCTCTATTAGAGGAAGCACAGCTCTCCTACAGCAATCTTTGGCTCAGTTCACACTCTCCAGCAGGATCCATTCCAAAGTCTTCTTTGGTGATGCTATGTCCCTGCTGCACATGCTGGCTCCAGAGGTCACCTGACAGCAATTGGCCTCAAACTGGTTTGTAAGACAGGAACAAATTCTTAAAATCAAGCAGCATGAACCAGGGTGCTGTGGTTCTCCACACCACACTGCTTGTTTTGTGCCAACTTCCTATCCTCAGTCCAAATAAGAGAAAGCAGTTCACACAAAGATTTCTAAATAAGCTATAAATGACCTCTCACAAAGCCACATTCATTGCAGCTACCAAGAATAAAATGCCAAAACTATGTTTAAGTCATTGCAACAAGGATAGCGTGAGTGCAGGAAATTGAGCCTGCTTTAAATAAAAGCTGGCTCTATGCTTTGCCTAAACATCTTTCACAACATGACATGGGGCTGGCAGCTGAAAGAAGAAAGCAAAATAAGGAAACAACGTCACGTCTGTAAAAATAGCAATTTTTAAACATTTCTTTGATCATCTACAAGATTCTTCCTTTGGAATTCAGAAGGTGTCTCCAAGCCTCTACTGTAGCAGGAAGGGATTCTTGCAGCATCCTTGACTTCTGTGAGAAGCACTACTGCTGGTGTTACAGGGCACCTAGCAGCAAAGTGGTGAACATGCACTGAAATCAATCAAAGCCAGAGAAAAGCCATGTAGAAGCAGAGCCAGAACTCAGGACTCCTTCTACTCCTAGCTCTGGTTTAGCTGAGCAATTGGTTTCTGCACCAAAGCAGCACTGCCAATACACTCTGCAAAAGAGGCAAGCAGACAACATCTAACCATCTCAAAGAGCTATGGGAACCAAGGAAGAGCTACAGTTATCAAGTCTCTCTTTTCCTGCTGGCTTTATTCCTCCTACCCAAACTCACATAGCCTGTAGGTGTCCACAAGTCCTGCGACCCTTAACTGCTCTTTAGGGCTAGACAAGGCCTGCAGCACCAGAGCTATTTCAAAGTCTCTCCAATCAGGCTTTTACATGCAGAATCCCAGGTTCATCGGCACTGCACATGTAAGTGGCCGAATGCACTTGTAGCGCAGTGTAGCACAGGGATCTCTGCACAGATGCAGCAGGGTGCATACATTATTCTTCTCCATGGAAGTCCTTGACCAAAGTCCAAGAGTCTAAAGAAAAGCCAATTCCGGTTGCTGCGCAGCAGCCACAAGGACCAGTTTAGCAAGCCTGCAGCATTTCATATTCGGAAACAGGCTTTCTGCTCAATACCTGCCTTCTCTTCCCTGGTACAGTGTGCACGACTCCTTAAATGGTGTGTGGATGCTCAGGCAGCGGCTTCTCCCTTAACACCATCATAGTGCAGGACAAGAGGGAATACTTCCCTTTTGCCAATGTCTCCCATCTTAGAGGAAAACAAGCAAAAGACACCCACTCTGACAGCCCACCCATCAAACCCCATGTCTGGAAAGCAGCACTTTGGTCAGGGAGTCCCTTAGCTACAAAGCTAGGTGTTGGGTTCTGTCCCTCCCTCCCCAGACATAATCCATTAATAACTACTAAAGCCAATTACCGTAGTTAGAAATATAATAGCAGTCAGGGAGTCAGTCAAGCAGGCAATTGGGTGCTTAAGATTTTTTCTTCTGGGGGACAAATTGACTCGGTCCCAGCAGAGAACGCCCTCACGTGGGAGACAGGCCCCTTTGTGCAGAAGGTATGCACAAGGCTTTGATGGTTGCCACAGGTCTAAATTAGCATGGAGGCACACCAACAGGGAGAAAAAGGTGGGAGGAACAGCAAGGTCTAATCCCCGCTCATGCTGTCAATTCTGGCCTGTAGCTTACCTCCTCAGTCTTTACCCCCCACCCCTCAAAAAAAGAGAGAAAAAAATAGCATTAGATTAAGAGATTTCTCTCCAGCATTGCACACAGGCCTCAGGGCCACAAACAAGTCTCTTCTGGGTAAAGCTGACTCCATTCAGTCAACAGGAATTTTGTCTCA